CACACACACACACACACACACACACACACACACACACACACACACACACACACACACAGCTAATGGCTAAGGCAATTACGCTGAGCCTGAATTCAGTGGTGTAATTGAAATGATGTGTTGGGGATAACAGTATAGCAAGTCTGGCTTTTAACATCATACGAAATGCCACCATGTACACACCTGTCTCCACATCCTGCCACATAAGGGCAAACAAGGTTAACATGTGCGGTAAACATGTGCATGGTGTATTAATGTGTTAGGTCATACTCAGTTTTGTGTTACAATTTCTTTCGCAGCTTTCTGTTCACTCTTGTTATTGCCCTTTCCCCGCCTCTGGCTACCATTCACCGCTTGCTGCCCACTCTAGAAGGAGCTCTCTTTGAATTTCCAGACACGTGCCCACCCCTCCTTTTTGTGTTTTGTTTTGTGCCAATGTTTTTTTTCCCGGTGTTTTCCTTGTCTTCTTAGATAATATGGCTGAGACTGGGTCAGGGAATATTGCTGTTGTGTACCCGCAAAGCCTAGGATACATTGTATATGATATTGAGTCTGTACAAATGAACTTGACTTGTTTGTTTTACATCATAGCTTCAAACCCTCTGTGTCTTTGAATCAGAACACTTCGTCTCACCCATGATTTGCTATTATTTGTACCCCTTTCTGCCTACTTAAAAGGTCACCTGGCATTTACCATGAGGTTTTAATCGCCATGTAAGCTGGAGAACACGCAAAATGGCTTTTACCGTGATAGAATTTCGGGGGCCTTAATTTTTGCCAGCTGTGTGCTGTTTTGGCTTTGGTATTGACAGAAATGTTGACGGACCACAGGCATACCCCTGAGGAACCCCTGAGATGGGTAGAGCCATTAATGATGCTTCTGGGTGGGTTTTGAAACCTTATTTTTAAGGTTAATGGATTTGATTTCAAGTGTTATTAACTAATTCTGGATTGGTACTGTGTGTAATAACTTAAAAGCTACCACCTTGGAGGCAGTAGATGATTGAAGGTCTTAGGTAGAAATTAGCAAACGTCCACAGACAAAGCTGTACAGATGTGCCAACGGTTTGTATAGATATTTCCAGTTTAGCATTTTAGTCATACCCTAATTTTGCATGTGTGAACATTCCACATTCAATTAATTACCCTGTGTCATTTCCTCAGCCCAGTCTTTACTTTACTAAGATGCAGGTATGTTTTCATTAGTGTCTCAAATGGAAAATTGTAGTAAGCAATAAGAGCATCCTAAAAATAAACCACAGATATGTTTTGAGGCAGTGAGTGACATTTATAACCCTGAGAAACAACTAAATATGTAATAGTAAAGTTGTATTGTACTTAAGCACATTGCTATTCTTACATTGTTGTTATACAGCAAAGTGTTGCTGGAATGTCCTCTTTCTGTATTTTGAATTAATAAATGTCTTGATCAGGAAACATTCAGAGTGAGACCACTGCTAAGCTAAGTGTTTTAAAAAAAAAACGTTTATATAAAAAATAGAATGTAGATTGAATGTTTCAGTATACTGTATAGTTTTCATTAGTTTCAATTGTTAGCTTTTTGCAAACTGACATTTACACAGGGAAAAGGGCATTATCAGCCCCTTAACTATGTGCACATGATGGTACATTGTGTACCCCCACTAAGCCTGCGCACTGTTCTTATATTTACGTAATTGCATAACAGTTTATAACTTTCAGATGTCTCTGTTTAAAGAGGTTTTGACCCATGGAATGTGCGGTGCAGTTTGCTAGGTATGTGTATTATGGTTGTTAACAGAAATAAAACACAGTGTGTTCTCCTGCTGATTTCTCCAATTGATAATTATACAGTAAGCTCTCCTAGAGCCACCCGAGAGTAGACCAAAGACATTTGCCAATTGTTTAGTCTTCCAGGTGGATCAAAGTAACTTACGCGCTTCCTTCTGCTCTCAGTGACATAAGTGGTCTATTCACACTGTACATGTAATGTCCAATTATGACACGTTGCCTCATGTGACGTCCCTAAGCTTAACTAAACTAGGTCCATGAAGCCAGTCTCTATTTATGCCTAAGGTGGACATAGCATCTTTCTAACTCTGTTAGAACACATGGATACTGACATATCAAGTGTGTTTTCAACCCAAACTGTTATTTTGAAAGGTTAAACAATGTCACATGCAGGGTCATAACTTTTGCATTGGTACAACCTTAGAAAACACTTTAGTAATGTGTACAACTATCCATCATCTCTGCAGCATTGCAACTACTGCCACTTAACTGGCATGTATATTGAATATAAATATGTTCTTAATCACCCCGGAAATGTTGCTAAGGCCAAGCACAACTTCAGTAATAATCCATAAATAGTTCCTATTATGAATAAGAATGAAAGGAAGTCACAATGTATGCCAAACCTATCTGAACACTTTTGAATATAGTTTTACTTTGATCTGGCCATGTATGCAAAAGGCAGCAGCAGAACACAGCTGGCAACTTCATCCCTACTCTGTTTTCTTACAGTTATTTTGCCCCTTTTTTGTTGTTGTTATAGTCTTCTGGCAGACGTTTGCGCTGTTCCGGCAATGTCTGGGTTTGTTCATTTGTTTACGGGCTACACTTTCAATGGTGCTGTAGGATAGAAACTTGTGTCCCAGCCATGAAAGGGTAGCCATTGGTGAGCACACTTTTTTATGCCGCACGAGAATGGGACGGTGTGTCTTCTATTTGATTTGTGAGAGTCAGGATCATGTTAGAATCACATACATAAACTCACCGCTACTAAAACACAAGTCACAAGTGGTTGCTCCTGACCTGTAGTCACGCATCAGCTCCTAGATTTATTCTGATTATCAAAACATCCATTGACATCAACATTCCTCTTCATGACCACATCCAAAATCATAAAACATCAAAGCGCTCACTGTCCTTTTTCCTTTCCACTCATTGTTTGTCTCTCTCCCTTGACTTTTTTTGTTAGTGGTTCCTTCCCTCAATTTTCTCCATGTTTGTCCATGCTTTATTTGGAGGAGTTTCTTTCTACCGTTATCCTTTGTGAAGTGGCAGAAATCTGGCATTCAATTGACATTCCTCTCGTAGGCAATAAAGCTGAGGGAATACACTTAGAATGCAGTATGTTAAACGCAGGGCAATTTAGGTCAAAAGTGATCATAAATAGAACATTACCAATAATATCCACTATATATTGAGTACCACGCCAAACGAAAATTAGATATCCAGAGCATATATGACATTGCTTTTAGAATTATTATTATTACATTATTACAAATCAACCATCTTCAGCAAATCCAATGAATCCTGCGATGCTTTGAATTACATGAGTTATGTGTGTGTTTAGTATACTTACACTCTTTAAGGCTGAGGTAATATTACACTTTTGATAGTATTAAAAAAAACAAGTTATTATTTCCTTACTTAGATATCAATACCACAATCCAAGCCTTCAGTTGCAAAATTTGTGAACATTGTGATTCTCCAAAAACATATTTGCTTTAACTAAGTAATATCAGAAAGAACAAAGTAAATAATAATAAACAACCAAATTAAGTGTCACTTTTGTTGAAAAAATTATAATGTATATAAACAGTGCAATAATGGAAATTGAATCATAATATTTGGAAGACATTGCACCCAATCCATTATTAAAGTTTGGTTAAATACTTAATCAATATGGACTTTCCTAATATGTTCTCATATTTAATTGACCTCAGTTGTACTGCAAATGGTCATTTTGTATAATGATTTGCTTCTTAATGTTCTCTTGGCAAACCAAGACAACCTGTAAGTGTTCACTTTAATAAAGAATGTATTCAAATATATATGAATAGCTAAACCTTTTAAATATTCTATGGTGGTCTTTGGGTTTAAGAATGTTGAAATATTAAGTAAGAAAGTGTCTGCTTACTGTAAAAGGTAAGGTTAAAATGTAAAGCACAAACAAACTCCATGACTTAACATTTCAATAGACATATCCTGATACTGATATCAGCACTTATTTTGCAGTTCTAAGCAAGTTTTATCCAAACATAAATCCAAATGAATCCAATTTGAGGAAAAACATTCGAAAGAGCAACCCTGCAGCAGTACAGGAATGTGTTTAGGGGAAACCTCCTATACACAGAGCTCTTTCTGTGAAAAGGTCAAATCATTCATTCGTGCAGTTATTTTTCCTCTCTTCTGTAACCTTTTCTTACCATCCCCTTGTGCCCTACCCACCAGACTTACTCCCTGTGTTTATAAGTTGGCCCATGTATCATAAGCTAAAACTAAGCTGCCCTTTACCTCGTGTAGAAATAGTTTGAAATCCAACCGTTCGAGAGTTTTTAAACTATTTTGACAGCTCCCTCTTTTTTCCATCACCCCCATGAGCAATGGAAACTGGCATCGTGTATGTGTCTCAATGAACAAGCGTGCGTCGCTTGCCTTTCCCGTAAGCTGACATGAAAGATATTTCACAACTTGTGAAGCAGTGTTTTGTGAGACGCTAGGGTGCTCAGAGAGATATCATTGTAACAGAACCATGTGCCCATAAAGGAATGATATCCTGTTTTCTTACAGTTCTGTAACGTTGTGGGTATGGGCTGCTGCCAACAAAAAGTCATATTTAATTTAGCTCCCGCCTGGTGCTGGTGAAATGGCTCCCACTGGACCGGGCAGAGGTGAAACTCATAACACCAGAGTCAAATGGCATGATCATTGATAAGGAAATACATGTTTTCCTAAATGCAGGAATTCATTCACGACTAAGTCCATGTTGTGTTCCATTGTTTTTCTCTTGTTTAAACATGTGGTGCAACCCAAACATGTGGTATTGTTTTCTTTAACTTAGAACAATAGATGAAAGATAATGTTACCCTTTTTCTTTTCTATGGCTAAAAGTATGACGGATGGTTGAACAGTACAAATAACAGTTTCAAAGTGAGCCCTTTGTATAACTTCCTTATTTTCTCTGTCTCTTCATTTCATACTTTCTTTTTCTTCCTTTAATGTTATCTCTTTACCAGGTGAAGTTATAAGCTTGGTGGATGATCTGTTCTCTGGTCTGGGTTCATCCTGTGTTTTTGCCGGGAAAAAGACTGGAGACCATCCTCACTCTGTGCTGTATTCAGTTGTCTTCAAGTGCCTGGAACCCGACAGTCTCTACAAGTAAGTAAGCCAACAACGTATGCCACATTTTCAAGTAAATTAAATAACTGATTTATTGTGACTGTTTATTTCTTCGGCATATGAATAAACATGAGTCATAAATTGTGTTGTGTTGTAGTTAGGTCAGACATATTTTCAAAGTTCCCGATATGTCTGTGAAGTAAAATCCCCTCAACGAAGAAAGTTCCTGATTATTTCCAGATCTCTATGGGTTTATTTCATAGGAAATTGATATTAAACTTGTAGGTAAACTATGTTTTTAAATGTGTGAGTTAATGAGGCAATATTAAATACATAAAAGCTGTAAGAGAATTGCTGTGGTGTTGGGTTTTGGGGGCCCCAGTGAGCTCCCAGCAGTCCCCTATAGCCTGGGACAGATATTCTGTAGAAATGCACGTTTGTCCCGACCATGCACAGAATAAGACAATAGGAGCTGTACCCATGGGGTCTAATCAAACACAGCCAGGAGAAGGTATGTAGGGCTCTGGTGCCTTGCCAATCTGAAAGGAAAACTGTTTGGGTTCTAGGTAGGCTAACCCCTGGCTCATTTCTACACACAGGCGTAGCATGAAACCCCTGGATAGGGTTTGGACTCGATCCTTTTCCAGGTTGTCACAATCATGAATTTTAGTTGACGATACATTTGCAAACCAATAATTGTGATCTACTATTTATAGCATTTGTATATTTTTTATTCACTGTAAGCTTTAAAATGGTTGCTTAGGCATACCAGACTATTTAAACATTGGTCTCCCAACAGTTCATACTGTTGTATAATACTGTTGTATAAACTGTATACAGTTTCTTAAGGTTGCGGCTTTTGTGTGGCTAAAAACACGAGAGTAACTGCAACCCGAGATCTTATTGGTGGACACTTTGCAGTAAAGAAACCTGAAGCCGGAGAAGGAGTCTATTAGACTTGTTTAACCCAGGGGCCTCTTTAATCAGCGGTCAGGTTTAGGAAGCCTGAAGGACAGCAGCTTCTGTGTTCTCGGAAGCTTAATGCGTAAGAGTTTGCGAGTCCTTAAAGAAGGACTTTTGTTTGGCTTCATGGAGGTTATGGAAAACCATGACACAATTCAGGAAGCGGAGGCAGGACATCACAGAGGCTGGTTCAAGCAGAGGACAACTGCTGACCTTGTGTTTGGAAAACCCTATAACCTGCTTGACACCTTTGCTGTGTAGTTGGCTGACAGTGAGGATTGAGAGAAGGTCTCAACCATCTCTTTGATGGAGGTCAGCACAAAGCGACTCAGCAGCAAGTTTCTAGGCGTGGTGGAGATTTTGCCTGAAATCTATAGGCTCTAGATATGGTTTGGCAGTCATAGTAAGTACACCTCATACATCAATGTCATGTGTAGGTTAGGGAACATGTCTGTGAACACCCAGAAGAGGGTGGTGGTTCCCATTTTCTGATGAAAAGTAACTGAAGGCCATGCTCCATTTGTTGCTATTTCTGATTTAAAGTGATATCATCGAAACTAGAAATTAATCAGAGTTCACACTTGTGTTGTACAGTACAATTCTGTCCAAACACCTACAATATTAAGCAACAGTGCTCTTGGTCTTGGCTCACAATTTATTGCAACCCAGTTGACTTGAGTTTTTCTGACCACATTTTTATGAGTTCAGTGTTTTCCGATTACCATATAAATACCTTTCATTAAACATTATATTGTGGCCATGATTACGTCTTTCCCATACAATAATGACTGAGCAAATATAAGCAATACCACATCCTCCCTTAGGTGTCTACAATTCCCACTGCAAATGCTGTTTTTCTTAAGGGGGTCAATTTTGTTACCTACAACAGCTGGCTCGAGTTAAAAGGGAAGTTCAACGTGGTGGAAGTGGCGGTTGCTTCCGTTCTTTTATGTTTACTTTGGTCAGAGCAGAACAGAGTTTTTGTGAATACAGAAGGATCTCTGTTAAGAGGCGATCTTTGTTAAACTCAAAGAACAAATTGACCACTCTTTGTAGATTTTGGGAGGCATTTAGCTAAAAGACAGACCTTGCCTGAGGTCATTAAATGCCATTAAATGCACTCATAGCCATCACCGTAACACATCATGTATTTACAACAGTAAGTTGAACTTTGACAGTGTGTGACGTGGGAAGCCAAGGCTATTTGCTGTTGCTGATTGCAGACCTGTTCCAACAGTATAACAATTACAGCGGGTTTTATGAATAACACTTCATGTCCTACAAACATTGTGGAATTAATTGCATGCTGGTGTGGGGCTTCACTGGACTGCTTTACATTGAAACCTATTTATTGTATTGTATTAATTAAATTCCCCCGTACAACATCAGAAATTGCGTCATTACAGACTATAACCTCAAATGACCATAGAGCTGACCCAGCATGTTTCTGACAGTGTTAACAGCAATTTAATGATTATGTGTTTTCATGAATTACCAGAATGTTGTATGTGATTACACTTACTGTAGAGGCTTATATATTTTTCTGTTCAAACAGTTTTTGGCAAGCTATTTAGAGGCACAATTCAGACTAGAAATGTATCTGACTTCAAATTGAGGCAGATATGTTTTTCTTTTTTTTTTTCAAACTAGATATTGCTGTTATGTGCATTTTCTATGAGCACTATTTGCTCTTGCACAATAATCAATAATAAGTGAAGCAGACAGGCCCCAGGTGTTGTTGTGGCTGACATTGGACACATGAAACAGACTGTTTTTTCAGGTTCAGTTAAGTGTCCTGTTTTTATAATGTTCATGCTTTTCGAAGGCCTGAACATAGCCCCTTTGAAAGAAGAAGCCAGAATTAAAAGCTTGTGGAAACCTCCGATTATCCCCAATCTAGGTGTACATGTACCGTACCAAGTTACAAAAAACAAATAACTTTGCAATAGTTTAATATCCAAATCCTTATGCCAGTGGATTTCCAATAACCTGAGACGACAATACAGCAGGGCATACTCACAGCATTTAGCCTAACAAGTTACCCTAAAAGAAATTATCTTTAGTTGTGCCTAATTAAATGAACATATATTTACAGTTGAGAGGGATGCTAAAATACAGGAATAAAAATGCCTTATGATGATTGTTTGTGTGTTATTGTATGTGAGACAGCCAGAGTAAAGGTTATGGATGTATTAATGTAGCATTGCCAACAAGCTATTTAACATGTATGTCTACATAACAGCTATAACAGTTAAATGAATGCCATGTGGTCTTTTAAATGAATCCATTAACATTGGAGTATATATATGATCATAGGCTGATGAACCTGTGAGTTTCACATAAACATTGCACACAGGGAGAAGTAGAATATTCCATATTGGGAAGTGTTAATAATGGAGCATTAAAACAAAGAAATGAAGATAAAATAAATCAATGAATAACCAACAAAGCATTCTGGAGGCTGATGGTAATGCCTACAATATAATTACCATCTATTTAGTTAACAACTCAATGTTTCGACTTTCCTTCATGCATTGACGCAGTAGATAAAGAATGCTAGGTACATAACTATTCATTTAATCTGTAGAAGTTAGTGTTCCACTAACAAAACCTGCAACAAGAGCCTTATTTCCAACGTTGTAGCCGTGTTATCTTTGTTGAGGAATTTTCGACAGTGTTGTTTTGCTCTGATAAGAGCAGAATGTACCTTGGAATTACGTCTGAGGGCACATCTGCTTGAAGCCAACCCCACTTGTCTTAATCAAGAGTCTGATAAGTCCTACTGGTTTGGACATTACATTACATTGGTTAGACGCTTTTATCCAAAGCGACTTACATACATTCACACTTGATCATTACCAAGGCTGCTAACATTTCCCTTACTAGAATGCTCTTTTCTCTTTGAAGAGTTTCACACCTGATTTCAAAAGTGAATACAAATATGCTGGATACAGAGTCGCTTTTGTATTATTAACCAAACGTGTGAGAATTCTCTAAAGAGGCTACTATGAATATACTTCTTGAACTGTCAGACTAATGTGACAATAAGCTGGAACATCCTTTTTTACAAGGATAACTTATATTTCTGGGGTAAATCATCAACAAATTATCTTGGTAATGAAGTCAATTGACTTTGTTTTTCTGGTTCTCGACCCAAACCAAATCAGAAATGTGGTGATGATAATCTATGTTACAGAGTTCAACTAGGTGACCAGGATGCCTGTTTCTGAACATGTTGATTGAAGGGTCAGTTCAGTTTTCTGCACCACAAGTTTATTTTTTTGTATTGAACTGATAGAGGTCAGGTAACATTGTTTGTGCTGCTCTAATTAATCAAGAGTACATTTGTGACGGAAGTTGTACAAAAAGTCGTTATGTACTTCTCCATTTCTTGATATCGATTGACACCTTTGAGTTTTAAAGCTTAAAACTAGCCAGTGGATTTGAAAAAAAAATCATTCTTGCTTCTTGAGTGGCATTTATTTTTCTTTGAGTGTGGTGGTTGTACAAAGGTGTTGGTACTTCTTAGTTTAAAAATCTAAATAATATGGTTTTGGATGGTGGACATTTGCTGTTTTCCACTAAAACTTGGTGCAGAAGGAAGACGCACAAAATCTAGTTTCTTCCTGATGAGAAATGTTTTTGCTTTTAATTAAAAAAATAATCTTGATACTGCTGCTGATACATGATAATATCGACTTGAATTTGTCAAACGTCATTCAAAGAACTGTTGAAATTATGTTCTTGTTGATTATCTATCTATTATCTCAGTTTACCAAATGATCTGCTGAATTCATTTAAGATTTTAATGTGGTGTTGTGGATCAATGACATTCATTTGGGACTGTGAGTCTTTCTGATCTGGCAAGTGAGGTCATTCAGGAGCTGAGCTAATTGGGTCTAAATTCACAAATGAAAGGCAAAGGCATTATATTTAGGGCTTTGCGCTAGTGTATGCGACATAGATCTGAGGATTTCAACGTCACGAGACACTGTAGCTGCACAGATTTTCGGGCAGTGTGAATTATTCTATGATGCCTTTGATTGATTTGTTGACCGGCTTTCTGATGTGAATCCAAACATTGATGTCATGGAAAAGGCATCCCCTACTGCCCTAGCTTCTCTCAGCATGCCAAACATACTGCCCTAAGTGATCCTCTCTCTCTCTCTCTCTCTCTCTCTCTCTCTCTCTCTCTCTCTCTCTCTCTCTCTCTCTCTCTCTCTCTCTCTCTCTCTCTCTCTCTCTCTCTCTCTCTCTCTCTCCCATTCCTCATCTCCTGCTCTGTCTGTCCCAAAGCTTTCTGTCTTGTCATCCCTTGTTCATCCATCTCCCCACTGTTTTATTACATTAGAGGGCACTAGTTACTTTAATGGCCACATTGTTATTTTACACACACATTAATCTGCCATTTGTCCACTTGGTTGTTTCCGAGCTTTCAAAACTATGGCACAGGGACAAAACCGAACCACTTCCAGAGGAGCCATGTGAAGCCAGACGGCCTTGGAATAGATGTGAGAGACAAATAATTAGAGAGAGGGATAGACAGGCCTGAGCTATATGCAAGCAATGTAGATAGAAAAATAGAGAGACAAAGGAAAGTGTATCCGTGTGTGGTAGGGTGGGTGGCCGTGGTGGTTGTGTGTCTTGCCAAATGCTGTTACTTGATGTTTTGACATTCTCGTGGCATGCCAGACCAAAGCTGCTTTCTTTGTTCTCCTAGGCGATCTTTATCATCACTGTGTGCCTGTGCTGAGCTTAGGCTGCTACTATCAGTTTATATGAATGAGAACCTAACAGTATGTAGAAACCCTAGCCAAGGCTACTTGGCTTAAACTTCGATCAAAAAGTTGCAAAATGTCTCGTATTTTCTTTAAAATGTCATAATTGATTCCACAATGAGCATATTATCCCTCATTTACTCAAACAAAAAGCAGACTCTCAAGCTCACTCTCTTAGAGGCTTAATCTCATGGCAGAAAAGGCTTTATTACTGTACATAAAAACCTTGTAATTGCTGTAGGGGCTGTGGAAGGGGGAACAGTATACCTGTCATTGATGCCAACCATTTAAACAACAAAAAACAGCAATAAAAGGCTGGCAAGTCCACATCCTGGGTCCCTAACAAAAATGTTAACAAATTGCCTTGATAAAAACTCCCGCCTCGACGTCCTCCTCCTCCTGCTTTCCTTTTACTTCCACCTCATTGTATCCAGCTGCACGTTATGTGGCCATATACAGTAATTTAAACAGTGATTGTTACATGCCAGCATTGTTTTCCTGTGTGAGGCCTTTGGTGAGATTCTTGGGGAATACCGCATCCACCCTGCTGAAAAACAAGACTAGACAAACTATGTGAGCAATGTCCAAACAGGTCATATTACAACAAAACAATAATTTGACAGGATTGGGACAGACATTAAATGAGAAAAAGTCAAATAAGTTTAGTAACAAAAATAAACTTTTGTAATAACAATAATCTTGTAATGTCTTTATTTTCATGTGTTTCTCAAAAGTATTTCGCAGTGGAATGCTATCTCAGTTGGTCATCTTGTCTCGCTGTGTTTTGTGGTTTCCTTGTTGTCATTCTGTTGTTTTTACAGCGGTAACTCTGTTGAAATACTGTAGAAAGCTTACAGTTTTTTTCATAACAAGCTACAAACATTTCTCAATACTAAATTCAATCCCCTGTAGTAGGAAAAACAGTGTATGTGTGTTTTTTCTGAAAATCTTCTATCAAATAACCTTCACAGCAACTGCAATATTTATGGCCTGCTTAATTCAACATAAAAATGACACAAGCTCTTTTTGGAAATTCTGATGTACTGCTCAAGTCTAATTATCATTGATGGCCAAAGTGTATTGGCCTTTTCACAGCATATATTTTGACGTGTCATAGTAGGTAAAGCATAGGTAGTAAAACATTACCAATGGCGCTATTCTATTCAAGTGTCACACACAATTCCAGTACCTTGACACAACACCGGTGTATGTGATCAAACAATAATTTATTTTATAATTGACACTGGTGTTTTTCCTTTGACCTAAGATTCTCACAGTCATAACTACAGTGTAGCTATACACACATGACAATACAAGCCTTGAAACTTCTGTGACATGTCAAAGTCTATATGCCTTTTCAACTGGTAGCTAGATATGACATAATACATAAAATATTAGATAATGCTTGGCTATATGACACAACAGCAAGTTTGGCTAAACAGAAATCAATGTTATTAACCTTTTTTAAATTGTTATGTGTGTCCACAAAAGGGAGGTGTGATTTAGGGAATTCAGAGAACAATACAAGTAGCTCTTGTGTTTTCCTAGGTGTGGTTTATATGGTTGCCATGGTCACAAAGAGTGCTGCAGCAAGTTAAAAGTTCAACCATTATTAAGACAGCAGTGGCAAATAGCACATGCACGTATATGATGTTGGCATTTCTTTCCTTGCCGCTGCCTGCAATAATATCGATGGCTTAATCTGTGCCACCCTTCATCCTTTTTTAGATTCAATATGACCAGTTTCTCCTTGTTCTTGTTCTTATTCAAAAGTACACAGATTGACATTTTCAAAAGGACATCTAAAGGTCATTTGTATTTGTTTCCGAGCCCTACATTACTTGAGATGCCTTACAATTTCTCAGTGTCTCATATCCTAATGTCTTGAACTGTTTGCTGTGTTATCTTATCAAGGTACTGAGTGGTCTTGAAGTCTGTCATATAACCCGAAAAAGTCTGATGTTTGACATTTTCAGAGAGAGGAAACTTTGGCCTTATAGAGTACGTGGAGTCGAGCCGGATGCCCCCTCTGCCACTGTGGAACAGGCTGCACTCATTTTCAGATATATAATTAAATCCCAACATCTTTGGCTCCTTATTGGCAATACATGTTTCTAAAAAAGTATGCAATGTCAGTATATGGGTTTATATGATCATCTAGCAAGATCACCATCTCATCAAGAACATTACCCAGCAAACCTGTGAACATTACACTTTTTAAAGGCTGTGTCAGCATATCCAAAGTGCCAATCATTTGTGGAGTTTTAAGTGTCTTGGTCAAGGGTAAACTTGTAATTGCTTTTAAGCTTTTTCTGTATGTTTCTTTGATCGCTGCTAACACTTCACTTGGGGCTTTCTTCAAATGCTATTTGTTTTTTTCAGATTTACTCTTCATGCAATGGATAGCCGAGGCAGCCACTCTGACTCAAGCTTCGTGTCAGTACGGACATCTTGTCCAATGGTGGATGACAGTCGAGCCGAAGGTACACTCACCTTTCATTTGTTTTCTTCTTGTTCCTCTTCTTTTAATTTCATTTTTGGCACACCTCTTACAAGTTTTAAAACATAATCACAATGTATATACATTGGTACTTACCCACAAGGTTCATCACTAAAATATATTTAAAACGTGTCATTACACCCTTTTATCTAACTAATTTCATATTTGCAAGTCAGACCCACACTTATAATACATATATCCTTTTTTTAGAATCATGTTCTATCTCAACTCATAAAGTAAAATAAACCTCCATCACCAATTTCACATTCGGATTAAATTAACTGGCCCTGTGGAGTTAGCCATACAGTATCACTTCCTTGCTTACAAACTATACACCCCGTATTGTACAGCATTGAACAATGTAGCATTGTTCAATGCTACATTGAACAATGCTACAATGTTCAATGTAGCATTGAACATTGTAGTTCAATGCTACATTAAAAACGTTGATGTGCTGATTTGCTTACCTTGTTTGTGTTAAATATGTTTCCCCCTCTGTTTTTGTGTCTCTCCTATGTCCGTCTCTTACCTCTTCACAGAGATAGCGGACAAGGTCTACAACTTGTATAACGGCTACACAAGTGGCAAGGAGCAGCAGATAGCCTACAACACATTGATGGAGGTTCCTCCTCCACTGTTATACAGAGTCCAGCATCACTACAATTCCCACTACGAAAAGTTTGGAGACTTTGTCTGGCGAAGTGAAGATGAGCTGGGCCCCAGGTGAGAAGATGTGTTTTTAAGCAGGCAAAGAAGATGATTAAAATGTGAAATGTTACAGCTAGTCTGGCTAAAGAGAACTGTTGTTTTCTTGTTGTCTAGAAGAATTCCTTATTTTGTTTCAGTCTGCCACTATCTACCCAAGTGTCCTTGTCATCTTGTTTGATGACGCTGTTATGTTGTGTAGGATTAATTACAGTCACGCTGAGGTTTATTACATAACAAAGGCCAAAGATGTTTGGACTGGTCCTTCCAGTTTCAGACCATTAAGCAATTTTTCATGGCATTGTCTGCACCCCTCTAAGCAGGAGCATTACACAATTTCCCCCTCCTGTTTTCCCACTTTTCAAAGTGCTTTTACTGGAAAGCAAGTGGGCAAGGTCACCATGAAAACTTCGGGTTACAGTCGCTCCTCGCATTACCATGGTGATGCCAAAACAGTGTTTGACAGCCAAGCCAAACGCTACATTTGATAGTCAGCTAACACTAACTCAACTTCAAACTCTATTTCCTCTCCTTTCTCATATAAAATCTCCACAACATGCCAACATGACATCCTTTCAACCATGACCCTCTTAACAGGGACACCCCCATCGATAGTTTGCCATATGAACTGATGCTTAGACGTTACAACAACATGGAGAGCAAGAGAAACTCACTTGCTAACAAAGCTGTGAAGTAGATAACACAAACAATACTTCATAGAAAAAAACAAGTTGTGCAAGTCTGACAAGGAAGTTGGTCCAGCACCATGATGATAGCACATGGGTTCTTAAGTTACGCTCCAATGTTTAGGTTTGTCCACCCCCACTGCCTGGAAGCTCTCCTTTCAAACCATAAATAATATAATAATTGTGGAATAACTTTGGTCTGTAGAAAGATGATGCCTCTCTTTGATTGGTGAAGGGGGGTGGGAGGCACGGGTTGGCCATTGGGACTTAATATGGGGATTGGGGTGGTCAGATATTGTGTTTGTGTGTGGGCAGCAATGAGGAAGGAGGAGGGGGGGCTTTTGGATGAGTGAGCACAGATTATTTACTGCCTCAAGTTGGCAGGGTTGAGCCTCGTTGGGGTAATTTACAAGCAAGCTCTATTGGTGGTGCCTTTTAAAAGGTAGCAGAATGGCCAAGTGAAATGTAAGCAAAGTCCGTTTTCCTCGCGGGCGCTGAGAATCCCAGTAACCCCAAATGTCCAGCAGCATCGTAACATCTGAACACTAGTTATTTTCATAATTATATTGTTCTGTGGACATGCTGTGATGGTTAATGTTGTTTATCTTCACTGTAAACACCACTATTATCTTGTACTGCAATGTACCTTTATATCTCTGCACATCAGTCTCTTTGATTTTCACCCCCGCCAAGGTTTGTTTGTCTGTATGTCGGCAGGATTACAGGAAAACTACTATCCTTATTTTTTATGATATGAACAATGGACGGTTTTTGGTTCACGTTGTGGCTTAAAGACACTTTAAGTCTTGGCTGCGCACGGCTCATACCTCTGATATTGCAAGCAAACATGGAGGTGGCTGAGCCAAAATGGCGTTGGCTCATGCATAACGTGTAAACGGTGTTAACAGTGCTGACAACAGTGGCAGAGCTAACAGTGGTAATGTTGGGGGGAGCCGAGGATGGGCGTTATGCCTACTGTTGCCGCTGTCCTGCCACTGTTGGTTGGCATGATGGTCTCGTGGTAACAGCCATACAGTAAGAGCGCAGAAGAGAGCAGCAGTGATTAGCCAGTTGGACAATAAGGCAGGAGATAACATGTTGACTGGTTACCATCGCAAAGGACTGAAGAGCATGAGAACATACACAGAGGGACTGTGACTTCATTATCTGCTCAAGACATCATTTCTTAATTTACATAGCAAATAGTTGTTGCTGCTTTAGTCATATAGAGTACCTTTAACATTGCAAGTTAGGGTATTTGCATATGTCTGTGCTTTCCCATTGCCCTTTTAGTTTGATGTAGTTACAGTTCTAAGCTTTTATTTGTGTCGTAATCAATTACTTAGAATCCAATTAAAGCCATGTCTTTGACTTAAAAGCTATGGCAACCTGAAAAGTTACACTTTCCTTTTATGTTACATTTGTTGTTAATTTCTTTGCATGTTTTCAGGAATGGAATTACAAGTGTTGTATGTGTCCCTTACTCACATGATGGCAGGCCCCCCTTGATTATGTGTTTGGTAGTCACATCAGAATTTAAGGGAAATGAGAAAATGTTTCACCCTCTTTTCGGCCAATAAGTAAAAAGGATGTCTGTACTGCTTGCTTAACTGAAGACAGATGTTGATGCTCAGCAGACATGGCTTTCAAAACAAATGGAATTGTGCCCTTCTTTGTGTGTGTTTTCCTCATGACCTGACATATGGCTCATTCATGTTTTGCACAGCAGCTTCAGACTCTGGACGTAGAGAACACATTCAAACCTGGTGTAGTGTTCAACAGAATCAGTACCCGAAAATTCTAAATGTATTTGCATGAGCTGGTTTTGACCCAGAGTGGCAGTCCCGTCAGAAATAAAGGAGAAACACTGTTGCAATTCTTTCAATCCTGCTAACATTTATCAAATCAAATCAAATCAAGTTTTATTTATATAGCACATTTATAAATGATTGTTGGTCGAGCCAAAGTGCTGTACATATAATAAAAATAGCCTACAGTAGAGACACTTTACAGCAAATACAACAGCACAGATTGTTCAGAATATCAGTATGAGAAAAACGACACCCTCTGTCCTTAGACCCTCACATCGTACAAGGAAAAACTTCCAGAGAAAACCCATAGTTTAAGGGGAAATGGGAGAAACCTCAGGGAGAGCAACAGAGGAGGGATCCCTCTCCCAGGACGGACACAGACGTGCAATAGATGCCGTGTGTAAATCGAAGAGATAATACATTTTACAGCATATAGACCGAATGTTATTTAAAACAGTGCTTTCGTGCAAAGCCATTGAGGGTGCAACTGAAGGAACAGTGTGATATTTGTTCTTTTTCTTTCTTTCGCTCCTTCTCTATTTGTACTTCTTTGTTGACTTTTTGGCACCAAATGAACCCCCTTGGGGAATTGGTGCAATTACAATTTGTCTTTATCAGGTGCTGAAGTGAATTTAGCAGGACCCCCTTTTTTTTGTCAGCAGCACACAACGCTTACACACAAACATACACCTCCACTCGCATTTCCAAAGTTTGTGTATCTAACTACTTTTATGATTTCACATTTTAAAGATTTTCTTACTTGCTTAAATAATTGTACAGATATTTGTGTTTTCTGTCTTTCTCAATTATGAATATCATCTCAAACTTGAGATGTTATGGTAATGGTTTGAAAATTATTATATATACGTGATGATGTTGATCTTAGATATGTTTGTCTTGTCTTCTCCTTCAATAGAAAAGCCAACCTGATACTACATAGGGCGGAGAAGATTAGCAACTACTGCCGGTCCCTCCTGCGCAGCACCAACATCCGGAGCCGCACCGACACCATGCCGTATGTCTACTGCAGGAGTGAAGAGGGGCAACCTCCCAGTAACACGTGGCATGGCTCTTTACATGAAAGTCGCACTTCATGCATGGAAAAGTTAATATCTGTGCAGCGTAACACATACAGCAACACCAAGCTCCGATGAGACAGGAGTTTGTAGAAGGCGGCGGTGCATCTTTGTCTGTTTGTTGCTTCAAAATGACGTCAAAAATGGATGCAACTCCTCACCCAGTCTGCAGCAGTGGTCTCTCACGGGACTGATGGATTTTCCAAAACCATGATAGCCCAAAAAAAACTCAGTTCACTGGACATTGTGTTAAAGCTACACAAAAAAACATTTTTGTGTGGCCTACTTTTAATAGAAGACTGAGGATAAAAAAAGAACTGGAGTGAAAATATTTCTGCAAAATGGCCGTGATCGCACATATCAATGAGAGTTGTAGTCTGAACATGTAAAATAGAATTCAGCCAAGAGAAAAACTGGTTGGCTTAAATACTTTGAATGTAATATTGTAGTTCCTTTTGTTGGTGCTTTGAAGCTTTCTTGGAACACTTAAAAGAGAAAAAAGTTAAAAAAATATATTAGCATAACTTATTTGCCTTTACTGTTATAATTTGAAAGGAGAAACCGAAATGTGTTAAGCCATTTAAAAATCACTTTCTTATGTTCTAGTTCCCATTAAGTAAAAAAAATAAAGCATTTTTTTATGAATGTGAAATAAGTAAGTGAGAAACTATGTACTAAGTCTTGTATTACTTTTGATAGATTCAATTGAAATAGCAAGGCTTTGTGTGGGAACTATATTGATCAATAGGCTACTATAAGCCTGTTTAAATTATGCAAAGACATGGAGGGTGGCATTTGAAAATCATATTCAGTTATAGGTATTTTAGTTAATACTTTTAATCCAGAAATCTAGAAATCACCTATATTATTAATACTACAGTACCCAAAATGAATACTATGGACAATTACATTTTTTAATTGTTTTCATAGACTAGAAACAAACGTGAACAAAGTGGATTATGCACCCTGAACAAAATATACAATGCATTATCCACGCTGAAGTAAATGTTTCACATACTTCGTGGGTATTAGTATGTAACAAAATAAAATATACTGCAAAGAAAAATAAATCAGTTGCTATGGTAAGACTTGCAAGATTACAGAACATCACAGAAACAGTTTTAGGTGCCCAAAAGTTTGTGTTGAACAAACTCTAAAAGGTACTCCCAAATAATTTGTAAATATTAGTGATTGTAGGGGTTTTCTTTGGTCCATTTATACCTCTTATATTTCAGCCCAATGTCATATCTTCAAAGCCATGGATATTGTTTTAATTAAGATAAACAATGCCTTTTTTCAATATTTACATCTCATGTTATGTAAATTGTAATAATAAAGTATTATTATGTACATTTTTGAATTGTAAAAAAAGACATCTGTATTATTATGTGGCTTTGATTGTCTTTTTCTGAAGAATGTGATATTAAAAATGTATATTGAATCAGAAGATTTTTCTTTCATCCCCACAATGGAGTAAAACTATTATTTGGATTTTAAAATGTCTTATTTAAGATCAGTGTCAAGTTGTGTGATCAAGACGTCTTTGAACCTTTCCCCATTTTCATGAATATCACTAAATACAAAAAAGGTTTGTCGAATATATAATAATATATCTGTCATAGATTTATTTTCACTTTAAACTTTGTCAGTAAAATTAGAAAGTCAAAGTATAATATGTATAACAATATTAGAAAAAAGTCATAAGATAGTGTATCTAAAATACCATGTCGAAAAACATGTTGAAAATATGAGAAAATAAAACGAGTAGAATGTCTAAAAAAAAAGTCCTAGTATAGTATAAGGAATATAAATTTAAAAAAAGGACATAGTATGTCGAAAACATTTTAAAAAACGATAAAGTATCGTATGTCGGAAAAACTAATCGTAGGTTATAACGAAAATATTTTCAAAAATCGACATATTACTTCGATAATATTAGAAAAAATGGCATAAGATAGGATGCCGCAAAAAGTCGTAGTATAGGAAGTGGAAAACATAATTTAAAAAAAGACAGTACAGTATGCAGAAAAATATAGTTTGTCGAAAAACTTGAGAAATAAACAACATAGTATATATAGTATGTTGAAAATATTAATTAAAACTCCTTACTACAGTATGTCGAAAAAAGCTGTCAAAGATATAAAAAAGGACAACAGTATAATATCTCACAGTATAGTTTGTTGAAAATATAAGAAAAAAACAATATAATATATTGTCCAGAAAGATGTGTAGTATAGTATGTCGAAAGCCACTGATTTTTGTTATGCCTTGATTTTCAACATACGGTTTATCTTTTTTAATTCATATATTTTTTAGAATAGTTTAACTATCTGATGGATTGCCACAAGTGGTACATAGTACCACCACTTGGCCAATACAACACCAACACGTAGCAGTATAGAGAATAATCTGGTGTTGACTTCAATGATCTGTCTTGTTAAGAGGTCTAACTTAATGACGACAAGGTGATCAACTGATGTGGTGCACGTGACCCATGTGACCTGCCTGAACAAGCCCTCTGCCGGGAGAAGTCCTTTGAGTATTGCACTGTATCACAGCAATATGTGGATGGATTTGCATGATGGCAAAAATAAGTCTCAGATAAAAATAACTGTTATCCGATTTTATTTAGAAATTGCAGAATGCATTGCAATTGTGTGATTTCCAAGGATTTACCCAATTTACCAGATGATCAAGCTGGAAAATATTTACATTGAGCACGGGAGGAAATCAGTCAGCGAACTAATAGACAGCCATCCCCTATGAATTACTCTAATTTATATCATTAACTAAAGGTGGCTATGCTTCTCTGAATGTGAGCTGCTGGGAAGCATTTTCTTTTTCCAGCTCCCTCAACAAACTATTCCTTTAAGCTCAGATCCAGTTTCTTTCCAGTCATGCAACATTAACTGCACTTTCAAAATCAGTAGTTTGATGTTCATTCTCACAAAATATGCCATTAACGTCATTGGTGTGCCAGGAACAGCAGTCAAATTGCAATGTATCAATGGAGGCTTAAAGAATGAGCTTCTCTTTTTAACCCACCTCAGCATTTTTTTTCTGCATTTTGAAAAGGTCACTCACTTTATTTTGTCTAGTTAGTAAACTCTAGTAGTCTAGTAGAAAGATACTCCTAAGATGCACAGAAGAGTTAAAAAGTCCAATATAAAGCATACCACAAATGAACTTGGACACAATTGATGATAATACAATTTAACTTTCAAATAACTCACAACACTCATCAAGCTTTTGTTCACTTTAACCAGTGTTTTATTTCTACACAATAAATGACAGCAAAATGAACATCATACTCATCTTTATGACTCTTCCTTATGAAAATATAGTACACATCAGACATGTTTTGCCATGTACCAGAGCACCAAAAATATATATAATTGCAACTGTGAAAACAGAGAGAAACATAAACGGAAACATAAAAGTCCAATCTGTTGTATATGTGCCTGAAAAAGTGCATACTGTGTAAGAACCAAAGAGAGAGGAGGCCATCAGAGGGAGGGATGGACTACTGAGTCCGATGGCTACCTTTACAGTGTTGGTGAAACTCTCAGCAAACACAAAGGCATTGGGATAAGACCGGAAGGAATACAGTATGGAGTTTGAAATGAAAGCTGTTTAAGACGAATTGAAAATGAACTTCTCATTGCATAACAAAGATCAGCCAGTTTGATTATAAAGATCAATTTCAACAGACTCCTAAGACCCAGAAATGACCATTATGATTTTATTCATCTTGACAACAAATAAATATTTCATGACACAATGGATAAATTCATGGTTTAGACAACTGACAACAGTGCGTGTACTAAGCCATTATGAACAAATAAATGTCGACAGCGAGTGGTGTGGTAAAGCATCACAGGTCTTTTTTTTTTCTTTTTTTTCTGTCTTGCAGGTGATACTTTGACACAATGCACAACATATTAACGGTTCATCTCTTTGTATAATAGTTATGATAAAAATCAATCCAAGAGCTACTCTCAAACAGTTAGTACATGGTTTGCAAATACAATCATCATATAATAGTATTATTTACATCTTAAAATATATTTGTTGAGCAATCGGGTACGAAACATCGCAGTAATACCACTAGATATCCACGTAATATGTAAATACACTTTTTTTTGTACTTTCCATTTAGAAAAAGGACAATTTACCTTTTTTATTTATTTATTGAGGGATTAGGAAACATACATAAGTGGACCATTCTATAACCAGAGGCCTGTGAGAGGTACTTCATGTGTTACAATACACAAAGAAAATGTCTTACAACAAGATGGCACATCAGTATTTTTCTCCACAATGTGAGCAAAAATATGAAGACTTCAGACACTCTTTCTTACACTCCCCAACACTTTGTAATTACTTAGACAGTACAAAGCTTCTACCATTTTTAGACAAGCAATACGACATCCCGGTGTTAAATTAGAAACAAAGGAGTGACTGTTGGTGAGAAATGTGGAGAGGTATCAAAGCCTGTCTAAAAAAGACTGCTATACAAATCACATTATGTGATAAGTATTTGCTCTAGGTGAGGAAAACTGTGGTCCTTTAGCCTAACTTCAAAAGGCTCTGTAAGCCGGGCAAACATCCTCTCTGATTTTCACAGGGCCAGCGTGACCCTAGCAGACCTGTGCAGGCATACCTGACAGTGACAGATGAGGCAGTGTGTTGAGCAGTCGGGAGGTGGAGTGGTGAGGGGGGGGGGGGTGTTAGGAGTCCCAGAAAGGGATGGCTGCCACCCCCAGGAGAAACTCTGACTCATTGTCCTCGGCTTGTTGCCAGTCAGCCCCCGCCACCCCTGGCCCAGGGGCAGCCTCTGTGAGTACACATTTTCACACCTGGACAAATAGCTAGACAGGCCAGGAAAAGAAGCCCACACATCCCTACCTCTCTCCCTGCACACCTTCTACTTTTCCTGCCATCCAAGAACACTCTCAGGGGGCACCATCGCCTGCCTTCTGCCCTCCATTCCCTTCAGTTTTGTCCCCTCTCTTTGTAATTGCTACTGTCCTCTTCTGGCTCTGAATGCATATTCCTTGTTCCTTACACGTGTCCCTTGAAACATCATTTGCTATATTATGGATTTATGTATTTGACCATTGTATAATTGGTTCTTTTTCACACCACTTGTATGGCTAATGTGTGTATTTAAAAAAATAAGTAGATAAAGAAAAAGAAAATAAACTTTACATTCTGGTTTGAAAGGAATATAGAATACACTGCACTCAGGAACATAACACATGTGGTGAATGCTCATTGGATGTAAGCAGATTTAATCTAAGCCAGTGAGACAGAACTTTGTGAAGGAATATGTATATCTGATCAATGCTTGACAGCAATGATCACAACAGAGCCAAAATGACAGTTTTTAATCACAACCTATAATGTGTCTGTTTATAAGCACAACGTAAAAAATAACTTACATGGACATTAAATATAACTTAAAAAAGTATAACACTCTCAATAAATAGTTCTACTATTTACACCATTGTTATGAGACGCAAAAAGGTCACTAAAATACCAAAAATATAGAAGCAGCAAACATTACAGGCATGAGGTACAGCAAGGGATCCTGTGATGACTACAGTAGAGAGGTGATGTCCTCATCCAATGCGTAATCTTTTACTTCCTTCCATGAATATCTTGGTTAGCTATGGCTTAAGGGTACCTTCTGCATTATTAGGAATATAATTGTTCAAGTTGATATGCAGTCACATTCTGTAGCTGTTTTGATCAAGATAACAATCAGTTGTTTTGGTATCCAGACATTGACTAATGATACAAGCAATTGTTGAGGAGGATATTTCTTAGTTAGTCAAAGTATGTAGATGCAACAATAGGTTGTGAACTATGTGTGTCTGATGAAGGGAAAGATCCAATGTGAGGTTTCGGATTCATCCATTTACAAGGTTAAAATGGTGACCCTTAATGAACCAGTGTATGCATGTACTGCATGTCATTGGCGTAGTGTAGTGACTGCAGGTCAGTCTTTCCCCACTGTTAATAGTTGTATGTAAAGCAGCAGTATCTGGAGTACTAGTATTACATATAACTTGATAATATCAACATAATACATCTTTTATTTTATTTTACCAAGGCTATATAATGTATGTTAAGATATAAAGTGTTAAATGCAAGCTTAGTAGACAATGTAGCCTTGACAATGTCTTTAGAAGGTTTCATATTTCATAAAAGTTACAATGAATTCCTTCATTTAAGCTTTTCCTTCCCCTTTGACATCACTTGGTTTCTCTGCCAAAATGTACACTTTCAACATAAGATGATGTACTACACACACTAATAAGGGAAAAACAAAAGGCATACTAATTATGTCTAGCTAGACCATAAATAACCTTCTAAACTTAATGTGTTGATATGTTCCCTACTATATATATCTCTTTTTTATCTTAGATTTTTTTTGGGGGGGGTCTTAATGGCTGGATGGATGGTTTGATGGATAGAAACATAATTTGTAGTGACAAAACCTCCCTACTTCTTTGACAACCTCTACTACAAAGTCAGTTTGGAGAGGAGCATCTATAATCAGATAATAAAAAAAACTAATGACAGGTAAGCTAATAGCAACACAGGGAGTCAAAAGACAGAAAATCATAACATACAGTTTGTCTCAGATCACCATTCTGACAATAGCAGCTTCTAAACATTTTCAAAAGATATATGTTTTCTTCTTACATAGAAAAACTAAAAAAGTGCAGTAACTGAGGTCAATAATAGAAACACTGATTAAATATGACATTTTGTAAAAATGAAATACATGAAAACAAAAAAAAGAATATTTTTCCACCCTCCTGTCAATCAAGAACATATAGTAATATTTACATGATATATTTTTTGTTTATTTTCTTTGTATTTGGTGGAAAATAATACCTTCACACTTTTGCTGCATTTGGTGGTATTTTCTTAGTTCTTAACTACATTGGATTTAAAATTACATGAAATCTGGCTTACATTGCCACTTGTACATTTTGTTGTCTACAATGATTTATGAGAATGATCTGAAATGCTATAGCAGCCTAATATGAGTCAGAGGGACTGTGCCATTGGCCTAAATAACATGAAAAGTCACAATCGTGCTGAATGTAACCCTGACAATGGTTGCAGCCTAATAAGAGCAGCAACATGTGGACCAATATGCCAAGCAGCCTTCATTATCAAATGTGTATGAGAAAAAACTAGTGTAGCCTTCATGTGTCTGGAATGAGGAATAACAAAATACAAGGCTATTGTAGCAGCCACATGATCTAAAGAAGTTAATTGGTGGGGACGGACTGAGTTCACAATACTGACAAGTGCTGATCAGAACAACAGAATGTACTTTTTACTGCAGCGATAAACAAGGTTTAAATGAATTACTTAAACACTGGACCCAGCAGAGAATCTTAGGGACCTTTGATCATATTGTGACTGCAAATGCTGTGTTGACATATACATCCAAATGTCATTTTCATGAATTGCATTGTTGCATTGTTGACTGCTGAGAGTCCAACACTACTGGGAGGGGAGAGAATGAGAAATGTGTGTGCACGTGTTTGAATGTCAGATGAGGTCTCCTTCCACCTATTCTCATTCTCACTAAGAGCCAGGACCTATTTCCAGCCCTTCAGTTCTTCCTCTTGTGTGACTGTGCAGTACTGTGTTATCAAAAAGGCTGAAGACTTCTGACAAGCATTGAATACATTCCAAACAGGCTGGGATGATTTTATCTTCAGTTTGAACATTTTTGATTTGGTGCTTGAGGTAACAAAGTTCTGATCAAGCGCCATGAGGGAAGAGTTAAAACTGAAACTAAAATCAACCCAAACCGAAGTGAGGTATTAACGATGACATTCTTTAAGTCGTGGTCAATGTATTTTTTCTTGGGCGATAGGGGTTAAAAGGAAATGACAAGTGAGGTTCTGGGGTTTTTTAAAGTTCTTAGTGCATTTCATGTGGTGTTGTCGACATGTATTCTATGAAAGTATCATGAACCGACATGCACGTGTAAATGAATGCTTTAAAGAGGTACTGTAAGCAGCAAGGCAGACAATGCTGTCTAACCCCATTAGATATTATGATGTGAAGATGGCAAGTAGCAGCAAACACAGTAGCAGAAGCCATGCTAAACATGTTTTAATTATGCATTCAGGATTTTGCTCTAAATATAAAATATTCTTAGGAAATAATGTTATATAAGTTGGCATTTTTTGTGTGTGTGTTTGTGCCTTTTAATCTGGCTTTTGTGTTGAATATGTGGCTTGAAACTCAATAATATGGCTGTCTCATTCCCCACCAAGCTAGGAATAACCTCTACTGTAAAGGGCATATAGATACAAAGTGACTGACCAGTTTGAAACCAGGAATGATATACGCACACACTTCTAGCCCCTCCGAAAAGGTGTTGAACATGCCTGTAAAGTGTCTGAGGAATATTTTTTAACATCTGTCTTTTGATTTCCTTCATATTTGCAAAACAGGGAGCCAACATCAACACGATCCCTCACTTGCACATTTTGATTTACCTTTGGTTCAATCATGTGATTGTAAGGCAAGGTCACTAAAATAGACACTGAAGCCAGCACAAAACTCAACAAAAGGCATGCTACCTAGGCTTGGTTACATTTTTGTTTAGGTTTTTTTTCTCCTTGCTGTATACGTTTTTTTAATTTTTTTTATGATGATATAGCAGGGTTACTTTCCTTTGAGCTGAGAAATGAAGTTTCTGTGGAGTCTCATGATTCCCATCCTCTATTCTTGATCTTGGTCTGTGATGTGGAGGAGGCATTTCAGCTGGTCGGGGTTGCAGTATGGATGGAGAGGTATGCCTGTTAAGCAGCATGTGCAGGAAATTGGAGGCTGAGAGAAGGATGAAGAAGGGGTCTGCCTCGGCCACTCAGGCTGTGTTGTGTTGCAGCAAGGGTACGATGGTGAACTGAGGTCCCTGCTCAGGTTGGTCACCCCAGAGAATGCACATGTTCCTCCTTTCTGTTCTCCATAGCATTCAAATCCCGACAGGAGCACTCATCCCGGATGTCACAGGACATGGGGAATGGAATCACCTGAGTGGGAGAGAAAATCAAAAATATGTCATTTAAAGAAATACAAAATATTTCTGATCTTCCATTGCAGTGGTAAAACCTCAAAAACAAAGTGGTTCATGTTAGGGGAAGGACATGGTTTTGGAAAGAAATCACAATTTGTTAAGGTTGGGGATAACTTGGTGGTTTAGATTGCGATATTGAGAAAATAACTTTGTCAACATTGTTGTGTATAGCGGCCTCCCTGGTTGGTCCAAAATATGGTTTACTGATCAATCAATGTCTATGGATTTTGTTACTCCATATTAATGTCACTTGACTTATTTATTTGTTCCCATCATAAATAATACGACCATAAGAAACCTTTGTCACATGAACATAAATATGTAATTGTATTGGCTCTGTATGGGCCTAGTCTCGATCAGTTGTCTCAATGTACCAAACTGCCATGTGATCAATGTATGTGTTCATTAAATAATTATTTAACCATGCTGTTTTAATTATATAATATGTTTCAGGGGACCTGCACATCACCTACCTTACCTGATCTGTCAGATTTCCCACACACAAACACATCCAACCACCCACACACACACACACACACACACACATACCATGTATACATCACTTCAGGGGACATTACATTGACTTACATGCATTTCCTGGAGACTTATCCTAACCTTAACCATAACCAACACATGCCTAACCCTAACCCTTACCCTTACCCTAACCCTAACCCTAATCCTAAACCTAACCAAGTCTTCACCCTAAAATTAATGATTCCCCTCATGGGGACCTCCAATTTGTCCCCATAAGGGAAGCCAGTCCCCACACTTGACTATGTAAACAGATTTAGGTCCCCACAAGTATAGTAATGCTAGACCACACACACACGTTCCTTTTCTTTTTCGCTCTCCTTGTAGTTGATGTACACCAGATTTTTGCAAATATCAAACAGGTTTGAAATTGAATCAGCGTGCTTTTCGTTAGGCCGTTTGTCTAATTTGTAATGGGTTGTGTTCCTAAACTGAGAGCTAAACTGTCAGGTAATAAACCATTCATAGTGGTGCTTATTCATAGGCATTCATTTAGAATAACCAAAGATTTAAAAAAAAAGTTATGATGGAAGTGCGCAGTTACAAGAAAATATTGGCCATCCAATGGCAATGGTATGGTATACATGTATGTGAAACTGTCCTGAACTGTTTATCTAAAGTCCTAGTGCAAACTTCTTTGTAGCATTTCGTTTTTATTAAGCACATTATATATCACAATCTCAAAATATTAGAGAAATTGATCTCCCAGTTTCCCTGATAGTCAGATGTCAAAGTGTTATACTGTAGGAGAAAATAGCACCGGAAGATCACTGGCCCTCGTCCCATGGAGCTTGACGTCATTGGATAACGTTGGCAATGCGTCACCAGCACCAGCTGTTGCAGCCTTGTCTGCTTTCCTCTCGGGGGGCCTGCTTCAGCTGTTTGGGTACACAAAATGTGTCCAGGCCAAACAAGGAACACATGTGATCCAAGGCAGGCAGGCAGGCAGAAGACCAAGGGCATGTCTGCTGTTGTGTCCTGTTGGCTTATCAGATCAATCTGTGGGCGCCTGCGGTGTCTCTTTTTGTTGTTAAAGCTGAGTGGTATTGCCTTTTTTGCACAATGGATCTTTGTATACAAAGTAAATGTGCCAACAATACTGGCCACTCTTACCAACACAGCCACTTGGTTGACAGTGTGCCTCATGTCAGAGAGCTATTAGTTCAAAGCTATTAGTGAAAGCTTACTTGCTGATGTGGGAGGAGTCCATTCCAGGGGGGGGGGGGGGTCATGGAGGTTATTATCTGAATATGAAGTAGATGCTGTATGATTACCCAGACTACTAGTGTAATGCCATCAAACAAATTGCCTCATAAGCTAATACTATCTGGGAGGGTTATTCAGGTAATTACTAAATGCATTAGCATTAGAATGAGAAAGAAAGGAGAATTTCCCATCCACTAAAAGATGCATCCATAACGATAGTGTCTTTATTGCATATCCATCCACGTCAAATGTTTAGCTTTGAAGCTGACTGCCTTCCTGATTGAATTGCTAAGCACATAAATGAAAAATTCATCTTGTTATTCTAAATCGTAATGAAAGCCTAATTTCATTTCCTCAGATAAAAATACACATACTTTTAATAAACAATCTTTTGATGGAGATTCACATTTCCCTGTGCCTTGAGGTTAAGTATCCACTACAAAATAATTCTGACCGCCAATGAACCAGTTCCTTAAAAACCTTACAATAATAGAAGATTAAGGGAAACATATATAGAAAAGTAAAGATGAGCTGCTGATAATGAATCTTTCTTTTAAAGTCTGTTTCTCCCCAAAAATATTGTTCAACTCCCGATTGCTGTGTTGCAAATGAAAGAAAAATTGTAAAAATGATTTTAAGTCATTCATACGACTTTGTTTTAGTCAAGACAAAACTTTGTCATGGTATTAGTCACTTTTTGCTTTGTAAAATGTTATAGTCTGTGGTTAACGCAACACAGAGAAATCACCACCTGTAGTTTGTGAGAGTCAAGGATTTGTTGACAGCAGGTCCGGGGAATGACATGTGGGAGCATGCTAGTCACTGAGGAGCAGTGACGCAGGCTCCCTTTTGAAATGGGGTATTAAATAAGTTGTTTGTGTGGGGGGGGGGGGGGGGGTGTTCCTAATGCGAGGGCCAGGTGGGCAGTGCCCAGACTCCTCTGAGAAAATGAGGCCTACACGTGACGACTTTACAAGCCGAGGGCCGGACACTCTTCAGAAACAGCTGCACGAACAGTGTTTCCTCTGTGGCATTTTGAAGCCAATAATACGGGGCTCCTAGTTCCCACCTGACTAAGTAAACAATTTTTAATTTTGTATTTAAGAAAAGGTAGACTACTTATTACTGCAAGAGCAGCTGGTGGTAGGGACCTCATGAGGGATGAGATATATCTCAAATATGAATGTACATTAAATCAGTGTTGTCAGTAATGAGATGAAGGTATTCAAATCAGTGTTACATTTTAATGGCTTTTATTGACAGTTAATTTAAGTTTAGAAGACAATATTTGCAGTGTTGACCCTATCTTGCAGTGTTGACACTATCTTTTAGTTTCACATGTTTGCCTTGTTTCCTTTAGATTCTCTTCTCCACTTTACCTTGCTCTCTCTTATAGGTCCCTACCCTTCCCGCTGCACCTCAGTTCCCTTCCAAAACTGCTTCTGTTTATCTCTCTATCTAGAGAATGATGGTGGGTGGCACATTTGACATGATTTCCTTTGACCTTGACCTTCAGGGTGGATGGGCCAGCTGCCACATCTGGCCCTGACTTGAGGGTTCTCTCAGGATGGCTGGGACTGGCTGGGACTGGCTGGCCTTGTGGGCCTGGGGGCCCTCATGCTGCCCAATGTCCCAGGGCTAGAGGAGGGCTGGGGGAGGACACCCACTAACAGCAACATGAAAGCCCATGTGAAGAACGCAGACCTTGTCAGAGCCCCATCCTTCCATCTCAGGAACAGGTCAAAATAACACAGAGTTCCTCTCATTACTGTGTGTGCAGTATGTGCGTGTCAGCCTATGCTTAAAGGAAAGAAGGTGTGTAAGGGGCACAGGCCTGGGGAGAGGGGAACTGGCTGGGTTTTTGGAGCAACTTACCACTTAATGGTAGCCAGTAATTTATCTACCTAACTAATGCAAGCAAAACAAGGTAAATCATCTGACAACTTATCTGTGTTTAAAAAAGAAAGTTTGAAAATGTACATCTTATGCAAACTTGTATTTTGGATCACTTATTTTTCACTGGAAAAGACTTCCAACAGCTAAACAGCTGAGAACATCAAATTGATGATAATAGCTGAAGCAGTTAACTGTGTTTTACCTGGCTGTGTTTTGTGACTTACTGCTTCCTCTTGTCAACAGGAAATGTGTTAGGAACAACTATCTTCTCAGGGATGACAGAGATATGTGTATGTTTATATTTAACCCTTAGCAGACAAACTCGAGTTTGACTGAGATTAGCAGTGTACAAATGATTTGATAAATAACTGATACACACTATTTACTCAATGCCAAAGCCGAGTTCCTGTTTCTTGCTTATTAAAGGAAAGAACGTTATCCCTGAAGATAGCTGCAGCTTCGGCTCAAGCTAACTAAAGGTAGACCAAACTCTATATGTTCAAGTTCGAAAATTCTAATAAATCTGTCACTGAACCACTGTGACATCTGACAGAAAAGCAATAGTCTCAGGAAATTGTTTTAAAAGGTTGAACAGACGTGTAAATGGGAGAAAAGGAAAGAAACACAGCAAGAATATAGAGTTTAATAGATACAATTAGGATAAGGAACCAGCAAATAAGAGAAAAACTACCACATAAGTTAGTTTATCAAAATAAGTGCGAGCACTTGGCATCAGCAAACAGCCAAAACCACTAAAACCGTTGGGAGTATGTCCCTCCTGTTGTGTAACTACCTTTGCTCAGCTGTGTTGAAAAGCCCTGCACCTCCCTCCACACTACCCTTCTCCCCCTCCCTCAGATACATGTTGTCCCCATGTATTTTCTACCCTCAGCCCACACAGACACAGAACATTTGGGAATAAAGGAAGCTATGGCATGCTGCTGCTGCTGATTTTTTATATTTGTTTATATTTGCCATTACCATTACAATTGAAAAAGTTACTAAAGTAAGTAAAGGGTAAGAAAGCAACCTTTTTCTCCCCTCTAACGGCCCTGGCAGAGAGTTGGCCACTGGAAAAAAGTCAACTTAGTTGCCCTCAGACATTAAAAAAACAAAGAGCTGTTGCTGGCATGTACTTTTGGCATCCTGTTATGCGATGTTATCTATGTGAGTCACCAACAGACACAGAGGTTAAATGGTCAGCTATGGTTATCACGGACCATCAGCTCAGACACAAACACCAATTGCGACACATCGCAAGTCACATATTGAGCATACTTGTGCCAGACTGAGAGTTGTAAACTGTAGAGAGGGACAAGGAAG